GGTTGCATATAATTTAGAGAAACAATGTGGTGTTCCACACTGATTAAAAAATGAGATGTACATATAATGACATAATAGAAAAATGTCCAGAATATAGTCTTAAGTTTTCAAAAATTTGTTAGAGAAAAACATGACGTTTCATCTTAATAAAAGAGTCATGATTATAATTAGCCCTTCACAGAAAATATTTGGAAAAATGAATGTCAAGCAGACAGGAATAGAGATCACAGGGACATTTGCAATCTCCATTTGACGTTTCTGTACACTGGACTCTGCAACTCTCATCTGTTCTTTTGTAATCAGAAAAAAAACAGACTTATCAGAAAATGAGCCAGCTGTCATACTTCTACCATGAAAACTTCTGATCCCTCTATCCTAAAATGATCACTCACTCTTCCCCCCGCCCCAGACTCAACATCTTTATTTTATTTTTATGTGGTGTGGAGGATCGAACTCAGCACCCCAAGTATGCCAGGCGAGCGCGTTACTGCTTGAGCCACATCCCCAGCCCCTCACTCACTCTTCTTAACACAGACCACAGTCATCCCAGAATGTGAATTCTAAAGAGGGCCTTAGAGATTATTTAATTCAATATCCTCACTTCAAAGATGGGAAAAGTGAGGCCCATAAAAGTGATATAACCCAAGTCATATAACTCTAAGTTAAGAGCCAAGACAGAATCCAGGGATGTGCTAACTTGGAGTTCAGAATTCTTTCTACTACAACAAGCTAGGTCTCCTCTGGCACTCCCTGTGTCTCTGAATAACTTGGTTTTATTGGACTATCAAGTAAATAGACAAATCTTTCTTCCTCCTGAAGGAAATGATGTGTTCAAAGTACCAATATCACGCTTAAAACTCACTAAAACAATAGACTTCAGATAGACTTGAGATTCAAGAGGCAAGACTAAAATTTAGGGAGAAAAAAGACTTCCACACTTGCCTTGCACTTGCATGGAGCTCTTGTGAGTGCTGGCACTCATGTGTACATGCATTCTCTCTCTCTCTCCTCTCTCTCTCTCTCTCTCTCTCTCTCTCTCTCTCTCTCTATATAT